TTGTTGCTGTTGCTGTTGCTGTTGCTGCTGTTGCTGCTATTGCTGCTATTGTTGCTATTGTTGCTGTTGTTGCTGTTGCTGTTGCTGTTGCTGCTATTGTTGCTATTGCTGCTATTGTTGCTGTTGTTGCTGTTGCGTATATGTAGTATTTGGTAAACCATCGAGGCAAAAGCCATAAACGCTTCATTCACTGGGCTCCAGCTGTGCTGCTCGTTTGCTAACACTTGCAGCGTCCTGCTCCTTCACTTCTTCATCCTCACTCCTTTCTCTTCTTGTCCTTTGATGCATTCGCTTAAGGTTAATCCTGCAGCTGTGGCACTTTCTACGTTTGGTATAAATTTTTGCATTCACTCGTCGAATGCACCAAATGAAACGGAACTGAGTGTCACATAGAGATGCACACACACACACACACACACATCATCACATCATATAATATGACTGTAGTTGACATTGGTTTCGAATTTTCAACATTTGTGAAGTTGTGGAATTTTCAAAGAATCCAAGCTGGAAAAACTTTTTCTCCTGGTATATGAAATGAAATATCCTTTTACATACACAGACGTGGAGAACAGTAAAAGGTTTTTACTTATACATATGACATACATATTTTTAGATGTTGTATATACATATATACTATACACATGGCGATTATGGCAGACTCAGAGGTTGATTGAATAACTGATTGATTGATGGACTTGCATTGGTTGACGAATTGATTAACTGCTTATTGATGGACTGATTGATTGAGTCAATGATAGTTGAGTGGGATGCTGTATTGATTGATCGATAGCATCTTTGATGTTTGGGTTTGATTGACAGACTAAGTTATCCATTGATTGACTGAGTGATTAATCCAGCGATCAATCATTGACAGATGACTGATTAATAGAGTTTTTAAGATTTGAAATATGTTGGACTGACTGAGAGATTTGGCTGACTGAGTAATTGACTTAATGACTGATTGACGGAGACATATTTAGCAAAGGCCTGACTGACTGTCAGAACGACTGATTGACTGAGAGATCGCATTGCCTAGTGATTAATTGAGTGATTGCTTTACTCATTGACAAATTGACTGGCAATTGATTGACTGATTGATTACTTAGTGACTTCTTGACACTGACCCATCTAGCGAATGATTGACTGACATCTACTGACTAAACTGGAGGCCAAATGCAACACTTAATTTGTAACTAATTGTAGAACCAGATCTACCAATCTACTAGCTGATTTCCGACTGACTAACTGATTGTCTGATTGACTGACTAGTGATCATATTGTTTCTAGCTAACAACAGACTTTCTAATTAAATGATTGATTGATTGAGTAAACAACTCACTGGGCCAAATTCCGTCTGATTTCCTCACAAACTGACTGACTTATAGATTGACTGATTGACTTCCAGTTGATTGACTGATTGACTACCAATTGATTGACTGATTGATTAATAGATCCACCATATTGTTCTTAGCTATCAATAGACATACTAATTAAATGATTGATTCACTAAGCAATATATAGTTTGACTTTCTTAACAACTGATTGATTAACTGACTGATTGATGACTGTTTGATGTGCTCACTAAGAAAGTTATTTGGTGATGAATTGAATTGCCCAATTGCTTGATTGATTGAGTGCTTAAATGATTGACTGAGTGAGTTACTTGGTGGCTGATTGATTAGTTGATTGATTGATCGTATAACTATATGAGCAACTAGTGTATTGATTGAACGTCTGAAATGACACGCTTTCTATCATCTACGGTATTATTCTTCTATGTCACTTATGTATTGTAGCCATCTGTAAAGCTGATACTCCCTTTGCAAGCAAGAGCATTGAAGTAGGTCAAATGTCGTGCTTGAATGTGTTGCTGAAACACAAAAGTGTTTCGTTTAATGGCTTCGCTTCAAATCCAGCCATAATCGCTTAACATTAGTGCATTACTGTGGCAATCGTTGCATGGAGCACGCTGACTGAGCTCTCGATTGCCTTTTGAGTGCTGGGACAGTCGAATTTATCTGCCTGTTTAATGCTCGCACTTTTTAGTGGCTGTCAACGATGCGCCGCAAGTTGATTTATTAATTAATCTCAATCAAAAAGGATTGCTTACGAAGTGTGCTCGCCAATTCAAGTGGAAGTCCCCGATCCCAGACACACATGGCCATATGGCCAGTGGAGTGGGTACTCGAAGTCTGTCATTATGCCTGGGGGATCTGCCTATAAATCATTTTAATTAGCATATATATATAGACTGAGGCGTTGCTATTGTAAATCGCGCAGTTTATCGATTCACATCACGTAAAAAAAAGGAAAAAAAAGAAATTTCGCTTTATCAAAAATGCTCGAGTCACCTTAGCAGCCGCTGCCAAAAGCGAGGCCAAATAAATTAAGCTGTTGGCCACAAAAAAAAAAAAGAAGGCAATTAGACAGGCGTGCGAGTGTCTGTGTATGTGTGTGTGAGTGCGGGCGCGCGTTTGTTATCTGATTAACTGGGCCATCCAGGCGCAGACATACATGATTTTATATTAAGCCAATTTCTTGGCCATAAATGAGAGCAGGAACTAGGCACGGCCATGCCTCGGATGTTTACGTTTTGATTTTGACCAAAAGTCAACTCGCTAAAAGACACACGCACACACAGACTTGAACACACTCACACCCACTCACACACACACATACACACAGAGGAAATCACGCCAGACGCGCATTAAGCGTGTGACAAGCGGACATTTGATTGTGCCCTGTCGCTTTGTTTGAGCCTTAATTTTGCCTTCCTGGCCAATTTCTGCTGCCTGCTTTCTGGCGAGGCGCGTCTCGAAATTGAAATACATCCGCAAGCTGACTTTAAATGGCCAAATTATGTTGAATAAGTCGCCGGCTCAACGACGAATAAAGCCACAAATGGCTATGTTAGAAATATTCGTTGAGTCGAAATCCTGAAATGCTTTAAAGTGTAGCAAAAAAAAGCTGAATTTATTTAAAACTTGCTAGATTGAAATGGTAAAAATAACATAAAGTAACATATACAGATATACATTTATTTCTAATATATACATACATATGTAGACGGGGCTGTAGTTCATATTCGACGGTCCCAGTTGGTAACTCTATATCTCCAGGCTCAAGGCGGCCATATGAGAGATATCATATTCCAAACGTGATGTCAACAAATCTACTTGAACCAAATAAAATGTATCTAAGCCCCAAAGGAGTATACCAAATTGATATAAAAAAAAAATGGTATATAGATGTTGTATATATGCATTCAAGCTTGGATCAACTTTGAAATTTGTTTTTGCCTTTCTAGCTTAAGTGACTCGCGATGCAATGTATCAAAATTAATAAAGGCTATTAAATTTTGAAGTCAACTAATTAGAATTAAGTTGGCTGCTAAATTAATATTATATATCATAAAGTTTTTTTTTTTCTTTATTTTGTTGCAATAAGGCCAATATTTAAAACAAAATCAAATCATTAACAATTCGTGACATATAAATACAACTTGCATATATTACATAAAACTTTAATAATCCATGAGCACCCTTAAAATTCATATATTTACAAAAATCTCCCTGGTTCTGTTCCTTTGGTTAATTACCTATCAAGTGGCTTTACAGCAAAAAATAAAATAAAAAATCTTTGTTTCTTTCATTACTTTCTCGATTTTTTGCCACTTTTATTCTGCCATAAAGCCCCACTGTGCAGGAGTCTACGCCAGACGCTTCCTCAGTTTCAAGAAGACGAGGTCTTGTAAATCCCTTCCTTGACAAGTGAATAAAATCGGATGTCGAAAATGCGTCACCAGAGAAAATTTAAATTTCAAACAGACTCCGCATCTAACTAGGAGATTTATATAACATTTTGGTTTCATTCTCAACGACTTTGCTCTGTTTTTATTTCCACTAGAGTAGCTTCTATTCCTCTTTAGACGCTCTTCGTGTTTGGGCTACAGCTGTACTTCATTAGGAATTAGAGTTATTTCTATAATTATAATGAATTACGCACTTATGGTGCGAATGCATATAGAGCTCAGTTATTATTTGAGTTCTTATTGAATTCAAATAAATTGCCATGGGCGTAACCCTAATCTAATGGGCGGTATTCCATTTGTTGTCTGACAATTGCTTCTGCATGGGGTTTAATGAAACGATTCGGCTGTGACGCCTGGCACTATGCAACACTTTGTGCTCTTTGCAAATTCCAATCATGTCGACAAGCCCAATAGCTCCCCAGGCCCCAGGCCCCTCCCACACACACACAAACAACAATATTGCGATTGTGATGCGTGCAAATGACTCAAGAATGACAAGCGAAACACGAGACATGGCCGAAATTGCGAATGACAATCGCATCCATCGATGCCCGACGCATCAGCGCGAATAGTTTGCAAAGTGTTTAAGTGTATTAGTGTGGGGTGGGGGGCATGAGACGTATCTCTCTCTCTGTGTGTGTGTGTGTGGTGGCTACAGGTTACAGTGTGGGTCAGATGATGGCCGTGACGCAAAGTTCGTCTCTTTTCTAGCTTTTCCATTTGATTTTTGTGGGTCAGCTCGCAGTACGCATAAGGCATACAAATCGAGTGTC